GTTAGTGGTTCTCTGTCGGGACCGATTGAGGCTGTCCGTGGAGTTCCACAAGGATCCGTACTCGGTCCGTACCTTTTCCTAAAATTCATAAACGACCTACAAAATGTCCTTGGAGAAAAGGCCTTATTCGCTAATGACACCAAAACATGGAGGACGGTAAAATATCCTGAAGATTACGAAACCTTGCAGGAAACTATCAACGCAGCTTATCGATGGTCCATCATCAATAACATCGAATTCAACGTTGAAAAATTCAAGTTTATATTGCTGCACTACAGGGGTCGCTTTCCATACTTACTTGGAACTCAACCATTGCCGCGTTCTCCAACCGAAAAGGACCTGGCAGTTATCGTTCGTGAGGGTCTTGGATGTTTCACACATCGCGCAAGAGCGTCATCAGAGGCTGAAAAACACGTTGGATTGCTAAAGCATGTTTTTGGATCATTCAAAACAAACCTATTACCCCGTTTATCATCAGCATACATTACACCGCACACCAAGTGTGCTATACAGGCTTGGAATCCATGGCTGATTCACGATCAAAAGGCATTCGAAAGTCCGCAGAGAACAGCAGCCAAAATGATCAAAGGGTTACAATCTAAGCCCTCTGATGAAAGACTACGAATTCTCGGACTCTATTCGTCTGAATACCGTCGAATACGGGGATACATGATCCTCGTATATCAAATACTACATCAACCTAACCACCTGTGTAGTACTCTAGTGACGCTATCCAAGAATGGTCATCTCCGAGGACATCCGATTAAACTTCTGCTCCAAAAGAGTCGGCTAGATTGTGTGCGTCATTCTTTCAGCCTCAGAGTTTGTAACAACTGGAGCTCTCTTCAACCTCAAGTTGTTTGTGCACCAACCACCGATTCTTTCAAGTCACGACTGGATGAAGCATTGAACCACCTAACGTTTTAGTACCCATGAGTGGACGTCAGAATTCGCTATTCGGTTGTACTACTACCAACCGAACCCAATGTGTATGGGATTCAATAAGCATCAGCTTAAGAACACGGCTGGTTTTAGACTTGGTCTATTTAGCATCTCTTCATTCATCGCCAAACCCTGAAACACAGACATTCCTTATTTAGTACCACCATCCCAATCTACCTTGATTTGAAAGCGTCATTCGAATCAGTCGACCGTTGTATACTCTAGCGTTACCTGTCCCTGAAGGATGTGTTAGGGAAGTTTGTTTGGATATTACGATCAGTTCATACTAACAGCTGAGACCGAAATTGAGCCTATGGTACTTTCTCGCCCGAGGTTTTCGTCAGGTTTGCTCAACTCTGCTTCTTTGTGGTGGAGATGGTTCCTGAGACAGCACTGTCCTCATGCAAGGTTAGCGGCATCGATTTTCTCCCAGGCGTTAGACTGTCTGTTCTGGAGTATACAGGCGACATTTTAATTGTATGTGAAGATCCAGGTAAGTACCATTCTTCTCTGGATGGTTCGTGTACTGGTGTACCCATGTTCGGCTCGCGTTTTTCACCTTCAAAGTGTGACTTGTCGCTACATCACGGGGTTGATCCAGCTCCCAACCTCCCAGCAACTGGGGATTTAACCGGGAAATTAGACCGATTTTACTATTTAGGTATCTGAATCTCACCTGGATACATCATGGATACAGTTTCGACCCGTATACAGAAAGCTCGGTTGGTGTTTGCCAAATTGAGATATCACTGTCGCCGTTATACTTCTGTCTGTGAAGGACTGCATCAGTTCGGTCAGTGCTGCTTTGCGATGCAGAGACTTGGTCATAACGAGAGCAAAGAAAGATAGTCTGCTGGTGTCCGAGCACTTCTGTCTAAGCCGTATTGCACGGAGCCGCTGGACCTCAGATGGGTTCGTCGATATTTGGGCCCAATTTTGCAATACTGCTTCTGGTTCTCTCAGGGGATATACCTGTTTCCCGTTTTGGGTCGCCTCAAGAGTTTAGCGCCTCTTATTGAATGGGATGGATACGATCCACGCAAAGAGCTTTGATGTTACGTCTGTGTTTATGGGGATGGGCTTGGAGTGTAATTGGAATAAAAGGTTACCCTGAAAGTCACAGTTGTAGAGAATAAGATAGTAGTGATTCTGGTTATTGGCGTTTTTGAGTGAATGATCTATGATCAAAGGAGAGGAGAGGGATTATTCTTATGCATAAATCGTGCATTTAAACGAATAACTGCTTCTTAAGTACGGCGAATTCAATTAGGGTTCGATAAGTGTCTTTGCACGCGTTGCAGACATCATCGATCATCGAATGGATCCTAACTGAGAATTCACGGGGAAGGGGGGATGGGGCAGTTAGAAATTTAAACACAATAGCCAAGTGCCG